GAGCAAACTGAGGATTTTGACCTTCAGTTCAGAATCTCCCATTATGTAGTAGCCACACATGGAGAGACTTATCAAAGACGGGAAGTAATGGGAAGCTTCCTAAAATTCTTCTGAGTATGTTCATTCTGTTCCCAAATGTAGGCATAGGTAGAGGAGGCTGTCATTATTGTACCATGAATACGGTTTCCACCACTGAAGGATGATGCATTACAGTAATTCTGTTTGTTGTAAGAAGCAGAGCTTAAAATAGAATGGTATGTAAGAATGTATCCTTTCTAAACATAAAGGTTTCTTTGTGTCATAATGAAGTATAGGGCTTTAAAAATTTTATTATTAATGTCCTTCATATATTTTATTCTTTTCATTGAAGTGGCCAACCTTATGACACCTCGTTTTGTAAAAACCTTTTTTCCCTCCTACCTTCCTTTCTTTGTTGCTATTTTCCATTTTGTCTTACTTTCTGGTCAGTTTCAATTTTCATTCTGATGCCTTGATTTTAAATTTTTTTTTTTCAACATACAGTTTTTTCTCTTTCTATGCTAACTCTCTGGAATGCTAAACTTAAGAGATGAGTGTTAAGGGCTGAGTGATCACCCTTGGCATACTTAATTGTAGACAAGTTGTTTGAACTTGTAACACTTGGAAAATGAAAGTGAATATATTTGTTTTGTTATTCCCATGGAAACGAGATATTTTTAATGAGCTTCTAAAAACAAGTTACAAATATACACAAAGAAGCTGATTCTTTGTAGCCGTTGCTTAATAAAAAGGAATTAGTTTATTTGGGGTGTTATGGGTTGAGGTTTTTTTCTTAAGTTCATGAGGTCTGAAAAGCTGGTACAAGGAAGGGATTTCCTGAATGTGAACAGGACATTAAAAATGGTGAAAATAAACTGGGGGTATGAGAGCCTTGTATGAGAGCCTTGTGTATTATGCTGTGTTCATAGTATTACAATTTTTCAAACCGTTTGAGTTGGAGGGAGCCTTTTACGTGTCATCCAGGTGAACACCACCACCTCGCCCTTCTCCCAGTGAGCAGGGACACATTGCATGAGACCAGGTTGCTCATAGCCCCATCCAGCCTGACCAGGGATGGGCCATCTGTCATTTCTCTGGACAGCCTCTTGCTGTCAGTGTTTCACCACCCTCCTAAAATGTCTTCCTTATATCTAGTCTGAATCTACCCTATTTTAGTTTGCAGCCATTACCTTGTCCTATCACAACAGCTCTGCTAGAAAGCCTGCCCCCAGTCCTTCCTTGTATGCTCCCTAAAAGCTGCAGTAAGGTCTCCTGGAGCCATGTGTCCACCAGTCTGAACAACCCCAACTCTCCCAACTTGTCTTCATGGCAGAACTGTTCCTTCTCTCTGATCAACTCTCTGGTCTGCTCTGGACTCACTCCAACAGGTCAGTGTCTTTCCTGTGCTGGGGACCCCAGAGCTGGATGCAGTGCTCTAAGTGGGCTCTCGTCACAGGAGAGTAGAGGGGCAGAATCCCCTCCCACACCCTGCTCCCATGCTGCTTTTGGTGTAGCCCAGGACACAGTTGTTGGCTTTCTGGGCTGGGAGTGCATGTTGCTGGCTCATGTCCAGTTTTCCATCCAATAGTACTCACAAGTCCATTACCCCTAGGGTGTTTTTGTGGACCTGGATTGGAGAGAGTGTGTAAATCAAGGTTCGTTGAAAGACTTTTTCTGTAATTTCTACCTGCTCAGTCAGTGGTCTCCTATACATTCAACCCATGACTGTACAGAAAGAGGAGAGGGGAGCATGCTGTTCTAGTTAGTAATCATGATGACAGCAACTGCTCAGAGCTTTTAGAGATCTGTCTCTAGATAGAGGAGGGGTATAGGATTGCTGCTTGATAATTTAGATGCTAATACATGGCATACATGTACCATACCTCACATACCAAAAGTGCAAGAACATGTTGTGTTCCTAGGGTTTTCCACAAGACTTGGCATATGTTGTAGCTGTAGAGTTTTGGAGTTAATTTTGGTGCTTTACTAGTGGATTTGATAATTTTGTAGTATATGAGGGAGTGAGAGGGGGTATTTTTGGAGTGTAGAAAAAGATAACAAATTTCAAAATTAAAGCTGTTTTATTTAGGAAACTTGGGATATAGTTGCAAAAAATTCCTTCACTCCCAATCCTATTTTTAACATCAATTAATGCTGTTGCCTGGTAAAGAGTATCAGCTATGATGCACATTTGTTTCTCCTTCGGGATTCGGCTGCAATAGTACCTTGGTCATATGTGTCTAATTTGTGATTTTACCTTAAGCTGAAGGGGAAAAATCCACTCATTTCCTTGCCCCATGTAAGTGACAGGGAAGAGATGAAATGTGTCTTAAACCAAATGCTCTTTGTTCCTCATGACTGCCATATTTTTGTATTTTTCCTTTTAATTCATACCAAAAAAAAGTTATGCTCTTCTATTTAATAAGTGGGCAAGCAGAAATTTTTCATGTGTTAAAATAACCCTGAGATCAGTTCATTTGTATAGAATGTGGTGCTAATAGTGACAAGGTGTTGTGTTTGACCACTTCAGGGTTGGAACTTGATGATCCTTGTGGGTCCCTTCCAACTCAGAATATTTGGTGAAAAACAAACAAGTCAACATGAATTTTTGCTGGTTTTGCTGAAAGTGGTCATTCCCTTCCCCACTGCAATGATCCTAACTGATGATCCAAGCTAAACCTATGTGCTACAGAAAGCTGCCTTTGACAAGGCCTGAGTGCTAGGCTTGGCAGTGAGTCTGTAGAGAATTTAGGGCCTTAGGGTGTTGTTATGCTGAAGCCTTGCAGTGATTGACAGTGGTTTCTTTTTCTAAATAAGAGGCAAAACAAAATGAAGTCTTGACCTCTTGTGCTACTTAAAAGTTCTTGGATGTGTTTCATCAGAAGACGGATATTAATCCTATTAATGAGAATCCTGGAGAAATTCCAGGTAGTTAATTGCAGTTTATTCCACCTGTCTTTCTGATTAATTAAATGCTGGATTATATTCTTTATTTCTACTGTCATGATGTTCTTTTACCAGCTAATTCTGAGATATTCCAGCACATGCTTTACCTAAAGCAGACAAGTAGTTGCAAACAGCAATGTTTGGTCAAAAAACACATAAAGTTTATTTTGTGGGGGTTGCTGACATTTGATACATATGTTGGCCTGCATTGAAAATAAAGAATGCTAGTAATGAACAATTATTTAGAGGGTTCCCTTAGTGTTGAATTTTGTTTTGAATAACTGATTTCTCTTTGTTGTAAAAGCCTGGGATAAAATTTCATTTTTGTTTAGTTAATTGAAGTAAGAGTTACTTTCTAACTGTTGGTTGCTGAACCAGAAATCTCATTTCCCCTTTTCATTAGTGGAGGCATCCCCCAACTGAGAGGGATTTGACCACTGAAGGTACCTAAAAGAAGATCAAAGATAAATCCATGACATATAGATGAATTGCTCTTCAAGGTGGTCTTTTTGACACTCGAATTAAAATTAGATTGCTGTGTACTGTTTTTCTAGCGCAAGATTTCTGTTGCTGGTGCACACTTTCTCTATCCTAGCATCTATTGTTTATTCCTATATAAACAGCTGTCTCTGTTGAAAGGACTGGTCTGGGTTGTGTGGTGGTGCTTGGTTATTTTTTCCCCTGATTTGCTTGAAATGTTCTACAAATTGGCACAAAAAGAAATGCTCAAGCAGCAAACAAAACTTGTGTAGTAGCATGTTTCCCAGCAACATGGACTCTCAAATATTACTTTAACTTAGAGATTTTTGTAATGTAAACATTTTCTGCTTTTGAAGATGGTACTATGTAAGATTATATCAGTATAAGTATCAAAACATCTTTTTGAAAATGGTTCTATTTGATCTGCCAAACTTTAGTTCAAAATATATGGCTAAATTTTGGGGTGTAAATTCTTATTCTAAAGATCAGAGAATCTGTAGTTTACTAAAACAGGAAAAGATGTGGTTTGTCTCTGCTGTAATTCGTAAAAATAGTTGGTTTTTGTTTAATGGTGAGTAAACTCACTAATGCTGTTGCTTCATATCTGAATTTTAAAATGAGGAACACTAAAACTAGATTAATATTAGGGAATTGAGTGGAGCAGTGCATACTCTGCAACATTATCTCCTGCCCAAACTGAATATTTTAAAATGCTACAAAATAGACATGCATTAACCTCCTTTTGGGTAAACATATCACTGTAGTGAATGCTTTGTAAGAGTTCTGTCAACTGAAACCTTTGGTGTGATGGACCAAAAAAGATCTGCAGGAATGACAGTATAAACTGGTGTTTGTAAAGTGGGAATTTCCCATGATCAGAATTTGCACCACACACTTGTACAGCAAAATTTATGAGTTTACCAGGCTACTATATTGTGTTTTCTGCATACCTTTAAATGTTTTTTGAAGATGATGGTCTACAAAGGAAAACAAGTATTGAATTTAAATGTGTTATTTAAAAACTTGTCAGTCTTCAATTGAGGAGGAATTTCAGGATTTTAATGCTTTTCAGTAGTTTGCTTTACACAATAGCAGAATAATTCTTAATTTATTTGTGAACACATGAATAGTGACTTATAAGTAATATGATAAGTTATTCAAAGAGGAATCAAAAGTAGTAAATAAAAAGACTCACCTAAGACGCTTCAGATCTTGTCTTATACATGCAGGCATTATAAGTGATCAACCAAATGAGACTGTATTTAATTTGATGAGCTGCAGGCATTTTGACAGTAAACCCAGTTGCTTTATTTCCTCTTTATTTCTGAACATTCATCAAGGGAAATCTGTGAAGTGCTGTCCTACTGATGTACATATAAAAATAAAGTGATATTCCTGGGATATGTTTTTTTTGACATCGTAAATGGGTTGCATGGGCCTTCCTGTTCTGTTGCAGTTGTCTGTTGTTCACTGTGGTAAACTGAAGCCATTCTGCTATTCTTGAAATGCTTTTGTGCTCCTTTGTAATTTCTTTCAATTGCTGTGTGTTTCAACAGGGGAAAGTCTGTAAGAACTATTACTTTTGAGCAGTTTAAGGAAGCTCTTCAAGAACTCTCCAAGAAGCGATTTAAAGGCAAAAGTGATGAGGAAGCACTTCAAGAAATGTATAAACTAATTGAAGGAAAAGGCCCAGGTTTAACTGGAGTAACGGTATGTTACTGGTCTAATGGACAGATTGTTTCTGCCTGTCCTTTGTCCTATTGCAGTGTTGTTATGTTCACCACTTCCCTCTACAGTCCACAAATCCAATTTCTCTGTGAGCCTGAAGGCAGCAATTGCAAAGGAGAATGGGAGAAAAGACTATGCAACAACTGAGTATTGCGCTACTGTGTGTTCTTGTGTAGTACTGTCATTGCTTCTTCTAGGAATTTTACTAGCATGTTGTAGCACATCAGGAATATTCTGAGCTCTTGTGTATGCTTAGAACAATGAAATGTTGATGAACAGTGGTGTATCCAAATCAAAAAGAGTATAATGACATTGGAGCCACAATAAAAAGTTTTAAGATGTTTTGTGAAATACAAAAAAGCAAAGGCATCTTAAAATACATTTATTTACACCATGTGAATCCCAGAACACTGGAAATCTGTGACTAATTATCATGTGGTCCCATCTTTGTTTCTTGTTTGTTCAAAGTCTGTCACAGCTACTATGTTCTTTCTTTTTAATTTTAAAATACTGGTATTAAGCTTTGTATGAGAAAAGGCAGCTATAAAGCATACTGTACATTAGCTTGGTTGTCCTTTTAGATGCCCAGGCTAGGCAAGCATTTATCCAGTATTTTAGGAAATACTGGAGTGTTTACCATCAGCTCGAATAGTTCTGTCAGTTTAGTTCATCTGCTTAAAATTTGTGATCCTCCTGAATTTTGCCTGTAAAGCTGTGAATGAAAGCATAATCTTTTCAGAAACTGGTTCTCTACAAATGATCAGCATAAACATCAAGTGAAAAGAACTGTTTTGAGTTGTAAAATAAGTCAGCTTTTTGCAAGATTTTATTTTATTTTATTACTCTTCTACTCTCATTTAAAACAAGTGGTAATTTTGATACGGACTTAAAACTTAAACCTTCCTTTTTGTTCTTCACTTATGTTAATAAATTGGAGTAACTTCTTCATCTGTACAGGGATTCTTCCTTCAAATTGTGTACATTCTTCTAGGTCTCACTTCTGATTCCATTTTTGGTATTTCAGCAGGCATTGAAATGAGCAGTGTCTGCTACTAAGGGAAAAATCTTTCTGTGTGGGGTGCATGGATGAGAGAGCTTTGCAGATGCAAAGCAGCATCATATAGGTTCAGCAGAGGTATAGGAGTGTGCCAGCAGCAGAGGGGGAGAAGAGCAGAGAGGAATATGAGCCAAAGATGTGAGGCTTGACTGTTCAATATGTGCCATTCTGGGGAGAGTTGAAGAAGTTAAGAAAGGGGGATCAGAATGTCTTCTTCTGCTACCTGGAAAAGTAAGGGCGAGGAGGCAGAGCATAAAAAGGAGGGAGATTGCAGACTGGGAGTGTGTGTGTGTGTGTATCTATGTGTGTGTATATAAAACCAAATGTCATGTTTGTTTTCTCATGCTAATTTAGTTCCTGGATGGTGAAAAAGACCCACAAATTTGGCAATTAAAGATATTAAAATAAATAAATGAATACATGGCCACGCTCCTTCTGCAACCCAGGAGTGCATATATGAATTCTCTATACAAGCTTTTAATGCTTTGTTTACTTTGGGAAGTTAATATTGTGGAAATTTTAAGTTGTGCTCCTTTCTGTATGGTTACATTAAGCTTTTCTTAAAAGTTCTAAGGCAAGTTAGTCATGCCATGTAGTGTGTGCCCTGCTCTGTAAAACTCTGCTATAGGTCATGTAGATTTGGTTCAGGTCTCAGACAGAAAAGTTTGTGACTACTGACACATTACTCTAAACCTATTAGGAGGAAGGAGTTGAAAGTATGATTAAGTGAAGCTTGTGGATAATACTTCAGCAGCCCGTGGGAATTTTGTGTCTTAGCTTCTTCTCATTTTCTTCTGTACTGGGTATTCTGGGGAGGTAGTGGGTAGGGGCAGTATGTGGACTAAATGGCAGCCTGGGGTGGGGAAAGCACTCCTTCAGCAGGACAGTTGGAAAGTTGACCTTCACATCAGACAATGAGGATTTTAGTGCATGTTAGGATAGAAGTGATAGAAGATTTTTTTATCTTCTTCTGTTTATTTTTTCTTCTCCTTCAGAATGTCATAGAATTACAAAAATCCCTGCTTGTTGTTGATGTGGTTGAGAAGGCTCAGCAGCCAGACATTGAAACCAAGTGAATTTTAGGCTGCTTTCTAATCTGGGAACAGAACATGTATGATTGACTGTCACACAGGAAGAAGAAGAGGAAAGTCATACAGGTTAATGAAGCCAGTGGCTTTATTAGCTCGCTTGGTGGTGATCTCTGAAGAGAATCTACAGTGCAGGTCATGTAACTTTGACAGCTTGTAAACAGACATGTAAATGAAGTCTAGGGCCTTTTAATTGTCCTCATTCCTACACAAAGGTTACAAAGAGCAAAACTGAGGCTCTTTCTTTTCCTGTACCAAGAGCTGTGTGCCATAGCAATGCTATATGCATTTTTACACCTCCTGGGGAACAGATCCTTACCTTGGTTATTGTTTGCTGTTAAAATAAAACCAGTTGAACTTCAGTGTATATTCATCAGGGTCTTTGACGTAGAAATGCAGAGCAATTTCAAGTGCAAGGAATCTGGGATGATCTCATTCAAACTTCTGCTCACAAGAGGGCTGACTTAAAGCCAGATCAGGTTGTTCAGGGCTCAGTCCAGTGAGATTCATGGTGAGAGGAGTATGGGTGGCAGGGCAGTACAGCAGCAACAGCGCTTGAAAAGCTGGATGATGGATGCTCAGGGAGATGTTGATGTGGGCAAGATCATATTCTCACCAAAACATACCTGTTAGGGCAAGAGCAAGGAAGCCAGAGTGAAGCCCACAGAGTGTGGTAAATGAGACAAAACACTTGTTGCTGCAGAAGTGCAAAGAGGCCTAGGAATTCCACTTAAGACTATGTGGATCTGCTTGAAGACTATACAGTGGTAGTCTGAAAAAGCTGCAGGAGATGCTGTCCAGCACATGGACTTCCATTAATATGTAGAAGTCTGCAGAACTGCCATTAGCACATGAGAGTCTTTGGCTCTATTAGGAAGAAGTCCTATATCCACCTTGAATGCTTCAGAGAGCTCCTGTGTCTTCCCAGAGTTCAGGGCGGTGGTGGCCACTCTTGTGGGAGATGTGCTGTGGTCGAGGTCCTGAGATTCCAGATGGCAGGAGAAGATGAGGAGGAGACTGACGTGGTATTTGTAGAAAACCCAAGCTACACAAGGTGTAGGAGTGACAACTGAAGACCAAGTGGACAGAGATTATTGAGATAGAAAAGGCTGAAAGCTGGTAGCTTTCAAAAATTCACAGATCTGCTCCACCTGCAATTGCTCAATTTCAGAATACATATAGTATCCTAAGCTCTGGTGAGGATCAACAAGACCCATCAGAGTCAGCTGAGCCTGAATTTAATGTTTACACAAAAAAGGGAAAATGAGTGATAATGTTGACCAGCACTGTCTCACACTGTGGGGACAGACAGCTTCTTTTAAGAATCCTTGGTTGAATGAATCCTTGGCTGGCCACAGATTTGTAGTTTTATCAGGCCTTAGCATGAGCTGTTAGTGAAAATCTGGAAAGGAGTTGAGTGAACAGTCACAGAAGATTTTGCCATCCCAAATATCTCATGTGCAATTACACTTCCCTGAATGGGTGACACTATATTCTGGCAACAGTGCTGTACCATGAGTCAGGAGTAATGGGTACCAGTCACAGAACATTACTGGAGACTCTTCTTATGGATGATCAAGACATGTATTTTCTGATCTCACCTGCTGTCTCATGAGTTTTACTGCTTGGTAGGTGCCAGGATCTGGGATTGTTGCAGATGCACGGCCAAGATTTGTCCATCTTCCCCACATGGACTTCTTCTTCCTCTTTCTCTTCCTTGTGGGTACCCAGAGTACTGCTCTGGAGGCAACCCTGACGCATGTAAAGAGGAACTACAGAGCTTTAGGGATGAGGGTGATGGGTAAGGAACTGAGATCTTGTCTTGCCAATCCCAGGAGGAGGAAAGATTGGGTAGAAGTGGACTGTATGGCTTCTCTTGAAGATGGGACTTTAGCTTCTAGGACCACAGAAATGAGGGCTACTCAGCAGGGATGAAATAAATCTAACAAAGTAGAACAAGAGTATCTTTACAAACTAAGCTTACTGATCTGCTGAGGAGACTATTAGACTGGGTATGGAAGGTTGCCATAACCTGAAGATGAAAGATCATAAGGGACAGAGCAGATACGTTTAGGTGACAGGCGTGACAAGAGAGGTTTTTGCCTTTCTATGAATGCAGCAGGACATGGGGTCTGTCTCTAATGCCTGCACACAAAAGCATATAGTATGGGGAAAGCAGGGCAAATTAGTTGTAGAGATGTGATTCACTGGGATTGTGCAGGTGTGTTAACACTTCTCTTCTGACTGGAGTGCTGCACTGTATGAATAGAGGCTCTTGAGGAAATACGTGAAAAAATGAGGAAGAGGGATGGTACTCTATGTAAAGGCCTAAGTTAACAGCATCTAGCTTTGGACCAAGTCTCATTAAAGACTGGTTGTAACATTAAAATGAAGAAGGATTCAGCAACACACTCACTGAAAAAAAAGTGTTTGTAATATATTTCCTTTTCTGTTTTGTATTCACCACCAACAAGAATGAAAAACTCCTCAGAAGTGTTGGCACACTGTTTTTGTGGGAGGTCATATTAATCAGGCTGCTAGATCCCATGAGGTGGGATCATGCAGTGACTTAAACTGTTGAAATGCTGGAGAACTGGAGTTAAGGGGCTAATCTTAGAAAGGAGAAAAGGGAAGGTTCTCTTGTGGCTGCCTAATAACACCTGATCTGCCCTTATGGCTGGACTTCACATGGTCTTCTCTTGATAGAGCTAGATATGGGTCAGGCGGAATTGACAGATTTATGAGAATTTCTTATGGAAAGTGGTGTCACATATAAGGCACCTTTTTGATGTATTTTATCTAGTTCTGGCTGGACTCCTAATAAATAAGAAGGTTTA